TGCCATATTTGGCGCGAAATTGCTTATTTAGCAACATACGTAACTGGCGATATGCCATAGAGATGGATGGAGAACATTCTAGAATAAATTCTTACCGGTTTGGCCCAGAATGTTCTCGAAAGCAGGCCAAAAGCTATATAAACCCTGCCTTTACGACGAGTCTATCGAGTTGATCGTCAGTCTAGTGTCGAGTGTGTCGCGAGTTGGAGCATCGTTGAGGCTATCTTTGACTGCATCACGAGTTGCAGCATGGAGAGTCTCGCGAGTACGTTAAGTGTCGAGAGCGACCGAACAGAGTCGGGAGTTGTACTGTAGTGCTTTGCCGTGAAGCTGTCTTCACCGTTATAGCCTGATAGCCGGAAAGCTGTACTGCTGATTGTTTCAACGCGTTCGTCGTAGTTTTTCGACGATTGTAAACGGGATTTTGGAACTGTCCTGAGTGATACTGGTTTAATAAATTGTGCTTTGATTCCTCGTCGAGTGCTTGTCATCAACCAATGGAAATCCACGAACCCGCACGAATGTAAGAATATTTAATAGGTCGTAAAAGGAAGTCATGTGGTGTTCACGTTAGAATTTTTTATTTATGTAACGTTGATATATTTCCATTGCTTACGTGGAAATTAATTACGTAGGTGTTGTGGATAATAACTGCTTTTAAACACTGTGATCCTGTATGCAGTTTTCTTCTTTTTTTATATTTTAAGCAAACAGTCTTATTTTACGTTGGTCATTTGTGACGGTACTTTTCCTATCGTTCCGTAATAAGCAAATTATTTTTTTGTTTTTAGATATGGCCTTGTTAATCCATAAGCCAGTTAATTCGCTGACAGTTAATTTACCTTTGACTGTATATTTTTCACACTCCGTGTGCCTCAGAAATGGGAAAATTCATTAAACAGAGTAATGTCCTCGTTAATTTGTGTATGATAAAATGCCGAGGAACCTAGTGAACTAAGCAGCGAATTTTCGCTGAGTTTAAGTATTTACAACGTTTATTCGAGAAGAGTTAAACTACCCTTTTATTCATTCAAAGACATAATAACAGATGGCCCTCTTCTCGAGCTTACATGAAAGCCTCCGTCGCTGAACACTGGTAGTTCGGTCCGAGGTTCGAATCCCGCGAACGGGCTGGCTACATGGGTGTTTTCGTGGTTTTCCCCATGTGTAACGTGTATACGAGCCAGTTTCCCTTAGAAAGTCCTCCACGAAGGCATCCCTCCCTTATGGCAGATAGCCTTCGAGTGCTTTGCCGTAATCTAATAAACCAAACCAAACCATGAAAGCCTCCACTCGAGCTTTTAAATCAGGATAAGAAAATAAGAAACTAATCTAATTCTAAACTAAACAGACTTAACCGAAGCTAGAGAGAAATGCTTAACGTAGTTGACCCTTAAAGTAACCTAGCCGGTGACAGCACGTACAGTCACGTACAACAGCCGGTGACAGCACGTACAGTCACATCTCAACAGGCACGTACAATACGGCCGGCCGAGCGTAATAGATTCAAGAACGAAGTAGCCAGAAGGCAAGCACGCGCTACCGTCTTTTTCTGAAAATAAGACATCCTCCGAAAATAAGGCTTAGTTAAAATAATGTGACAAAAAGGATTCGTTAAAAAATGCTGTTGATTTATTAAGTAATAATATGTTCAGCTTTCCTAATGCTCGTATTTCAGAGAAATGTTTGAAACAAAATATTCCGAGAAATTAATTGTTACCTCTACAGTTCGTTTCAAATTAATTCTTGCAATTTATCTTAACCAGTTCACCGTTTGCCCCGAGAGATACGTTCATAGGAAAGGCATCGTCATCCGTTAGCGTCGACAGACTCTCGTCTGGGTGAAATTTGGGCTGAACCGTAACCCCCGAGACACATACGACCCAGCGACCTTTCTCCAATCGCCACAGAATGAGTCGAAAATCAAAAGGGATGATTGGTGGGTAAAAAATTCATGGGACAAAAATAGTGATGTTTCCAATGCACTACGAACAGGCTACTTAGACAAGAAGTGTTCATTTAACGATAGCTATATCGCAAGACATGAGAGATTCGGACCAATGATTCAACAGGAAATGGATTTGGAAGAAAATCAGAAAAAAGAATTTTATTTATGACGATGTTCCAGAAGATGACATGACTGTAATTGAATAAATTTAAATTTCTGTATTCTGTGAAAATAAATATTAAATAAAATATATAAATATACTTTTATTTGCCCTCCCCCTAAAATAAGCCCTAGCGCGTATTTTGGACCAAAAAAGAAAGTAAGACAGTGTCTTATTTTCGGAAAAAGACGGTACTAAGGACTCCTAAGCACTCCATCTCGAAGTAAGTTTATAAGGTAGTTCTCCCTCCTTCTAGCATGCCTTTGCGTTGTAATGGTTAGCACACTCGGCGCGTATTCGAGAGGTCCAGGTTCGAATCCCGGCGAGGGCATTCTCATTTTCCCTGACTTCTGCTACCAAAAATCCTAATGTCTCTACAGTTGCGCCCGAAATAAAAAAGATGGTGGATGATGATACTTCACCACCAAGATCTGGCGGTTGGGTCCCTTAGGTAAGTATATAAGGTATTTCTCCCTCCTTCAGGCATGCCTTCATGGTGTAATGGTAGCACTCTCGGCGCGTATTCGAGAGGTGCAGATTCGAATCCCGGCGAGGGCATTCTCATTTTTCCTGACTCCTGCTACCAAAAGTACTAATGTCTCTACAGTTGCGCCCGAACTAAAAAAAGGGTGGTGGATGATAATTCTTCACCACCAAGATCTGGCGGTTGGGTTCCTTAGGTAAGTATATAAGGTATTTCTCCCTCTCAGGCATGCCTTCGTGGTGTAATGGTTAGCACACTCGGCGCGTATTCGAGAGGTCCAGGTTCGAGTCCCGGCAAGGGCATTGCTCATTTTTCATGTACTCCTGCTTCAAAATAACCTAATATATCTACAAGTTGAACTTCCTTAAGTACGTCTAACTCATTTACGTTCAACGTGATTCTAAAAACTCGTTTTGGTAGGGAGTTGTAAGTGGGAAAGAAGAATTGAAAGGAAAGGGTTTCAAAACTAAAATTAGGTGTTACAAAATTAAAATACACATTGCGACTATTCACTAAAAATGAAATAGAGCTTTAGTTTACGGCAATCTTCCTAAAATTTAATGAATAACTAAAAAAAGTATTCTCAGATTCTAATATTATTAATCAAGCTACTTAAGCTATAAAAATATATCGCATTGGAATTGTTTTTCCGTTATGTAGCGTTCAAACATCTCAGCTCAGAAGAAATAATATAAGGATATTTTTGAAGAAAAAATAATGCCCTTTTATACACAAGGTATAATAAAAAAAAAAGCTTGGAGGAAAATATATACTTATTTTAAATGAAGAAAATTATGCATTAATCAAAGAGAATGAATTTCTGAGAGGACAATTTATTTGTATTTTGCAAAAAGAAATTGCTCTTTTTGATTATTTTGATTGTTTCAAATTTTCCTTTAGTAATTAGCTTCCTGGAAAATTATTTATGCCACTGATAAATAATGTGTACAGACTCAAACTCGTATTGAGCCGTAGGAAATTTTCAAACACTTAGCAATGAAAATCCAGCCTTTGTTCCAAAACTAGATTCTTTTATTGCTTTCTGGGACTCAATACCATGCTAAACCAATTACGAAGATTAATATTGAATAAAGCTAATAAATAACAATCTATACTTAAAATATGTTCTTTTTAAATATGAAATTGAGGCCAAAAACATATTAGGGCAATGCGGTACAAATTCCACCAAATCCTTCTTGTAAATGCACTTAGAAGAAGTTATTTAAGGTAAATGTTTGAGGAGCTACTTTGTTATCATATAAGGTATTTCTCCCGTCTTCCTAGAGTACCTTAGTGGTGTAGTGGCTCTGCACACTGAGCCGGTATGTCAGAGGTCCGTGGTTCGATTCCTGGCGAAGGCGATTGCTGATTTTTCATCTTGCCTGCTTCCCAAAATTTCCTAATGTCTCTACAAACATGTTGCTTTCGCATACATGAAATGTATAATTATATTTTTAAGAATAAAAATAAAATCCATTTTGAGGAGCTGAAAATCCTTGTCTTAGAATTCTCAAAAGTGTAATTCGAAGCCTCAGGCTCATTCATACAAACCTAGGGTCCTCTAATTTCATTTACAAGCAAAGTAGCATATATGTAGAAATATTCTGAAATTTCTTTTAACATGAGGAAACTTATTAAACAGGAAAAATGTGGTAGAAAAATAAAAAAATTCTGAAAGAAAAAAATTCTGAAGGCTTTCAGATTATGTATTACACCAAAAGGGACTCCCCCCCTTTTTTTTTTGTGTGTGTGTGTGTGTGTTACCTTTAATTATTAACTATCATGTTCTTCGCACGTTAACCATAGAATTCAATTCAACAGCAATATCGCAAAATAATTTTAAAAGACTGTATCTTAAGAACTTCCGATACACAGTCTCGCGCGCTGGAAATAATTTTTTTTTTTTTTTTTTTTTTCGTACAGTGTTGCCGTTGCTCGCTTTGAAATCGTTGAGTTTCTTAATCAAAAATTCATAAATGCTCTACGAAATATGAAATAGATAATAAAACGAATTCGAAATTCCAAATTTGAACTTCCAGCAGATGTCCATATTCGGATGAAGACGTACGTTAATCAAAACTGGATGGCTCTAGATACCGCTGTTTTATCGCAATGCGAGAATCATGCCCACGTTTAGGCAGATTTTTCATTATTTCATTTCTTTAAATATAATATAGGGCAATAATATTTGATGGGAATTTGAAAAGTGAAACCCTTTTTATAGTAAAATGCCACAAAATGCCAAAACGAAATTTATAGCCCTTCTGGGTTAACGCTTAATGAACAGTTATTTAACTTTATTGTAAAAGTATTACTAATTCGAGGGAAAAAAGTTAAATAATTGGCTGCTAGTTTTGCAATTTTTATATTATTTCTTTTACGTTTTCTTGACATATCTTATATTACAGGCTGTTAAAAAGATGATTTTGACAGAAATAACTGATCTGGGCAAGAAAGCAGGGCTGAAATCTTTTGAGCAGGTAATGATTAAATATATGTCTTGTATTGTGTATTATCATATTTTAAGCAAGTAAATTTCTCATAATAGCATTATTTTATCATTATTAGCGCACTTTAAGGAATTGTTGCCGAAACGAATCATAACCCGGAGTTTGATGATCTAAAAGGTGTCCGCCGATAACATCGCGGCAAAAACATCGCGGACGAAAACGTCGCGGAGAAAACAACGCAAGGAGAAAACGTCGTGCTACAAGACATCGTGGGAGAAAACATCGCAAAGAGAAAACATCGCAGTTCTAAAACATCGTGGTACAAAACATCGTCGTCGAAAATAAAGCGGTTCAAAAACTTCGCAGTTTAAAAACATCGTCGTCGAAAATATCGTGGTAAAAATAAAGTATCTACAAATGATCGCATGACGATAACATCGCAGACATTCTTTTTCGGGTTTTAATAATTGGAAATGGATATTCCCATAATGATTTGTGAGCGCAAGATGTAAAGAATCATAATTTTTACTTTCACTATTTTTAAATAACTAATAAATTTTTGCTGAAAAAGTAAGGAGGAAATTTAAGCATCAATAATTAAATGCAACTTATAGCTTATACTTTTCATGAAAAATTACCAGTAAAAGCATTACAAAAATTATTTATTAATGGCCTTTGTTAGTTAACTATGTCGGTTTAAAATTCCATTAAGTGCTATAAGTTGCATTAATTTTCTATGCTTAAGTTTCCTTCTTATTTTCTCAGCAAAAATTTATTAGTTAATAAAAAATATGAAAGTAAAAATTATCCTTCTTTCCATCTTGCGCTCACAAATCATTATGGGAATATCCATTTACAGTATTAAAGATGTCTCCGAAAAGCATGTCTGAAAAAAGCATATCTGCGATGTTATCGTCATGCGACGATATTTGTAGATACTTTATTTTTTACCACGATATTTTCGACGACGATGTTTTTAAACTGCAAAGTTTTTGAACCGCTTTATTTTCGACGACGATGTTTTGTACCACGATGTTTTAGGACTGCGATGTTTTCTCGTTGCGATGTTTTCTCCCACGATGTTTTGTAGCACGACGTTTTCGCCTTGCGTTGTTTTCTCCGCGACGTTTTCGTCCGCGATGTTTTCGGCTGTAACCGATCTAAAAATCCACTAAAAATGGCCGGAAAATGCACTTCAAATGGGGAAAAAATGCTCTTAAAATATAAAAAAGTCTGATCAACGTAAAAAATAATTTATAAAAAGTGACACAATTGACAAACATTGGCCAGTGATTAAATTAACGTAACTGACTAATGATTAAGTTATGATAATTGTTAAATGCACATACACTTTGTGACGTTCCTCCCTTTTATCTAATAACTTAAGTGTGGAGGAACCTAGTGCACAGCTACTCGAATAATCGCTCAAGTTCAGTAACAGAAACATAAAGCTCAAGAAGGGTTATTACATTTGATTTCTCAAAGTAAAGAATAACAGTCGGCCCCTTTCTCAGGCGTACAGCTAAGCATCCACTTGGGCTCAAACTCAAAAGTGTAAATAATAACTTAACTAATGCTTAACTAAATAGGTATAGCTGAAGCTACCACAAATCTAACTAGTTGGCGCCTAAATACGGAATTAGCTAGCGAAGCTATCAAGGGCCTGTAATACAGCCGAGCGTAGAAATAGCTTAGAGAGATGTGGCCAAAAGGCAAACGCGCGCTAGTCAGAAACTCTGTGACTCTCTCTCGAAGTCAGTAGAACTTCGACTTAAATACTACTCTTACTCATTTGCATTAAACGCTTTCCTAAAAGCACATTCTGATAGGAAATTGTAAGCTGAAATTAGGATGGATAGGAAAGCAGTTTAAAAATAACTGTTAAAAACTTAGGATAAACCTTACATCTTGAACTGCCGTTTTTCTTCAGCATGCATCCTTATATAGAGTGCAGCAGCGTTCATAGCGTAATTTGACTTGCGTAGCACAATGACGTACTGCATGAATGTCGCGCCAGCTCGTGCCGCATTCGTGTACTAATGAGCTGCCATTTCGAGTGGGACAGTGGTATGGATCGTTGGAGTGCACAGCATCGTGCCTTTGCTGTTGAAAGTTATTTCAAGAATAACTACTCTGCTATTGCTACCCAGCGTCTATTTCGGCAACATTTCAACTTGGGATGTCATGGAAAAGTTCCATATGGACAGACCATTGCGACAGACATTTCCAGGTAGAGTAATTTCCCGTTTTGGTGACATTGCCTGGCCGCCTCGCTCACCTGATCTTTCATGTGCCGACTTTGGAGGCACCTGAAGCAAGAAGTTTTCCGAACACGTTGTTCAAGTTGTTGTTGATTCCTGAGTTGAAGGATCGCATCGGAACTGCCGTCGGCAATGTCCCAGGGAATACGTTACGCCGAGTGTCCCAGGGAATACGTTACGCCGTTACGCAAGCTTCCAACGCCGCCTAGATGATTGTGTTGTGCAGAAGGGGCATCATATTTAAAAAGTAATCCATGCAATGGACAATGACTTACACATTAGTAAATGGCATACCTTTAACTATTAATTGAAATAAGAGGTAATAAATAAATTACATTTACTGCCTTATGGTGTGCTTTTAATATCCTACTATGAACTCTGCCGCACCCTATACAAATATACTACAATTGCACTAAATTATTAAGGGCTTCTTGATATTTTGGAAAATGAAATACCTGGTGTCTTCAAAAGGTCGTTGACGAACTTAACATACTGGTCTGTCATACCATGAGAGACAAGATTTACATAATAATTTGTGTCCGAAAATGCGAACGGCGACCGCTAGAGGGCAGTTTTCGCAGGCTTATGAGAGCGTGGGAAGTTTGATTATATCAGGCAAGAACGCTGAAGAAGAAGGATGGTTTGGTTTTTGTAATAACGGCAAAGCCTCGAGGACTATCTGCCTAAGGGGAGGGACGCCTTCGTGGAGGACTTTCTATGGAAAACTGGCTCGTATACACATGGGGAAAACTCGAAAACGCCCATGCAGCCAGCCCGTTTGCGGGATGCAAATCTCGGACCGAACTACCAGAGTTCAGGGACGCTATCGCTCGGCCGCTGGTTGGCCTGCAGAAGAAGGATTAATTGGTTTTCTAACTCAAAACTTTATGGATATTTTGTGTCACATTTTTGTGGAAAGGGTATTGTGGGACCTGATGGTTGACGTTCCAGCAGCTATATGCCAAAACATATGATTTCAGCATTGTGGAGCGCCTTCACATTTTAACACCACCATGTGAGAATACCTCTATAGGACATATATGGATTACCATATCTGGATTATCTCAACAGGGCACATCTGGATCGCTGGATTGGCAGAGGCGGATCTTCCGACCGCGATCTTCCGACCTGATTCCCCTGGATTTATGGCTTTGGGTACATGAATTGTATGGTGGGCGAGTTAACTGTAACATCGGACATGGATCTCGTTGCCAGGATCGCGGAAGCGGGTCCGTGAATCCATACGTCGACGTTGTGGAGCTTGCAGTTTGGCGAATGAAAGGAATTTTGAACATCTTCTATGATTTGAACATGTTCTTTAATAAATGTCTTTCGACATCCTTTCTTTCTTCCCTTCTACACTTGCGAACAATGCTCTCTAGCAGCAGTTTGCATTTTCGGACACAGGTTCCAATGTAAATCTTTGTTTGTCATGGTGTGACAGGCCACGTTAGTTTGGCAACGACCTTTTGAGACACCCTGTATATTCCGTTGGCAGTATAGAAGTTTTATATATATATATGTATGTATTTCAGTTAATTAATAGAATATGCCTCAAAATGCTCCGAACTGCTCGAAAACTTTCCTAAAATGCCTCAAAAGTGCTCTAAAAATTTTTTAAATGCTTTCAAACAGAAAATACTCAAAACTGCAAAAAAGCGCGTTATGTCATCAAAATCTGGGCCTTGTTTATGACTAAGGTAATCATTTTATCGCGGCTCAAAGTTCTGGAACATTTCAGCACATTTTAGTGTACTGTCTAAGGTTATTCCAATCATTTTCTAAATTTCACAATTGTTAAATTTTTACGCGAATTTCAAGTTTTGTTTCCTACTCATTTTTGATTTTCTGTTATATTATTTTTCATACCTAAATAACTTTAATACTTCCATCTAATATATTTTACAACAAAAATAAATTATAAACTAATTCCTTTCCGAAATCCAATCCAAAAATTTGAATTACGTTCAGTTTGGCTTTATTTTCAGAATACTAGAGAAGAGGTCATTTACCAAAGTTACATAAAATCAGTTCTCATCGTCTGTCAGTATCTGCAAACACTTTCAGTACCAAACGAGCCTTTTCCTAAGTTTACAAATGTACTATTTGTAAACTTAGGAAAAGGCTCGTTTGGTAGTTTACAAAAGTACTATTTGTAAAATTAAAAATTAATTTTGCTCATTAAACAGCCTTACTGTGCTTCTCGTCTTTACACCGAATTAAATTTCAAGAACACGGACAAGGAGTAAAACTTGATTAAAATATTTATGAAAAACTGCTTCTTGACAGTAAGACTAAGATTTAATAAAATCTAGCCATCACTAATTAAGGGAAAATTCAAAAATTTAAATATATACACTGCGTAAAAAAGAAAAAAAGAACACTTCAATATCTCCCGTTCTGCTGGGCCTATTGACGGAATTAAACTTGCGTTTTTCATGTCTCGAAAGTGTGACTTAGAATATTCCGTGAAAGACCGAAATTGGAGAATGTCGGCGTTCACCGGAGAATGTCAACATTCACCAAATACGTCGGTGAAAGATCGAATATTTCTTTACATTACATTCTTGGACATTCGGACCCTCACCGGTGTATGTCGACAATCACAGATATGCTCTGGGGTAGGTCCAAAAGAGAGGAGTATATGTACACGCTGCCATTCCAAAAGGAAGCGTTCCACAAATAAATGCAGTTGTAAAAGCAAGGCCTCTTGTGCGATTCAAAGTGTCATATAGTTTAAGTTGTTGCAATAAATAAGATTTCAATCAC